TGGGGGTGAGCCCCCAGAGGAGGTGTCAATCCTAGCGCTGCTCAGTGACCATCGCGGCGCCACCCAAGTAACACCTTTCGTCCGCTCTCCAGCCCCGACCGAGGCGACCAGCGCGCACAGCACCCGATCACCGTGTCTCGTTTAGAGAGCCCTCTCTCTTCTCTCTTCGCCTTTTTGTCTCTCTTGCCTTACGTTTTCGCGTAAGGATATCGGAAGCTAGTCCGAACTGTCCTCGTCCCCGGCCTGTGTCGTCCGGCCGTCGGACGCTGCTCCGACCCGACTCGTTCGTGTCGTTCCGCTCTTCCCGGCACTGTTCGCGAAGACAACGACGAGAAGCAGGTTTCCACCCTATTGGTCGCGTGCTCGCGTCGCGTCTCGCCGTGTCTGTCTCGCCTCGTTCGAACGCGGTTGATATTCGTGTCGAGGAAGTGAGTGCTCTGCGGAACTGGCCTCGAGTGGACATCGGTGGACGACACAGTGAGTCAGTGAACAGTGAACGACACAAGGATTTAACACGTCCTCGACGTGCACGTATAGTGGTACTTGTCCGAGCAATCGGTGTTCTGGCTTACGGTGTGACTCTGTCTAAGCGCCACCGCCGATTCTACAGGAAGATCTTTCCTCGGGTGAATCGAGAAAGTGTGCTTCGTCGTGTTTCTTTGAGATCCCCGGATACAAAGTTCCACGGACAGCACGGGACTTGATACGTCTTGGAGAAATTTTTTGGTGGTGGATCGAAGCCTTGGCGGCGCTTCGAAGATAACGAGGAATCGCGAGAACGCGCAAGGTCCACGAGACGTACGATGTCGAGAGGACGACTCGCGACGGACTTCGTGGGGAGCTCGCAGCGGGTGCGACGACAACGCAGCGAGGACCTCGGCCTACGCTCCTGAACACCTCGAACACGTTGCTCCTAAACCCTCGACAAACTCGAGCATGCCGAAGAATCGACCACCAGAGACATACACGACGGTCGACAACGTGGCATCGCGAGGTTCAGTGAAATCCACCCGCAACCAAGTGTAAAACCAATCGCCAAGATTTTCCACCAACATTGCCAAGTGTATCTGTGTTATTGTGCGTGTTTGAAATCCGATTGTTTAAGTGTAAAATCCAAGATCGATACAAACGTCAGAAATAAGAAAAAGAAAGGAAGGAAGAGTATAAAAAGACGCCGTTCTCCGGTTTGAGTCACTCGAAGAGGAATCTCGCGCGACTCGGCAGACCCGCCCGTCTCGATGAGATTCGAACAAGACACAGCGTGCAGGGGTACCCACTGCGCCAGCACTCCGCAACCCTCCGCGCTACAGCAGCGATCACGGCTCGAGG